CGAGATTTGGTGGTTAACCCTACCAAACTTCTTCAGGTGTCTTCATTCCCAAAGTAGTCGAGGGACATCTATTTATCAAATAATCTGCTGTCGAAACAACCTCCTCCCATAACACCTTCTTCAATCCAGCACTAACCAACATGCATCTAACCCTTTCAAGGATTGTTTGATTGAATCTCTCAACTAAGCCATTTTATTGAGAAGTACCTATTACAGTCTTATGCCTTACAATTCCAGACTCAACATAGTAACTGTCGAAAGCTTTATTGCAAAACTCAAGACCATTGTCGGTTCTCAACCTCTTAACCTTTTTGCCAATTTGATTTTCGACCAGAACCTTTCAACTTTTGAAATTCTCAAAATTTTCATCCTTAGTCTTCTGAATGAATACCCATAATTTTCTAGAATAGTCATCAACTATGGATAGAAAATACCTTGCACCTGCATGTGAAGGATTCCTTGCAGGCCCCCAAAGATCATCATGGATGTAATCAAGGGATCCATGTGTTCTTTGTTTACCTTTGTTAAACTTCTCCCTACAAGATTTGCTAAATACACAAGGTTCACAAAACTCCAACTTCTCGATTTTGTCACCACCTAGCAAGTTCTGATTCCCTAGTTTGACTAGGCCTCTTTCGCTGACATGACCCAATCTCATGTGGCATGATTCTTTCTTCGACACCGGTTTCGTGGATGCAAAATCTGTTGAACCACTTATAACCTCAACCTTAAGGGTATACAAGCCTTGTTTCTTAATGCCTCTCAAAACTTCCTTCGACCCCTTCATGACTTTCAAGATACCTTGCTCTCCTTTGAAGAAATATCCTTTCTTGTCGAATTCACCAAGAGAAATTGAATTCCTCTTAAGGTCAGGTACATACCTAACACCAGTCAATAGCCTTATTGACTCATCATGGAGCTTGAATCTAACTGATCCAATACCTGCAATCTTGTAAACTTTATTGTTTCCCAGTAACACCGGTCCACCATCTTGATCACATAATTCTTCAAACATATTTTTGTTTGGAGTCATATTCCAAATACATCAAGAATCCTTAATCCACTCTTTGCAAGAGTTGCCACTTGACACCACAAGGACATCAGATGATTCATAATCATCTTTCACAATAGTTGTATTGCCATTGTCCTTACCTCAATGATTATTTAAGCGCTTGGGCACATCTTTCTTGTGTGACCCTCCTTCTTACAGTGATAACACTTAATCCCAAAAGTATCACCACCATAAGAGTTCTGTTGAGTTTTACCTTTCTTCTTGTCAAACCTACCATCACTCTTCGAGGATTTCCCCTTCACGGGTAACCCTTCGCCAACTTATGATGATGGTTTCTGCTCCTTTCTTTTATTCAAATCATTCAAATACAAGGCTTATTGAACTTCTTCAAAGGTCAGGGACTCTCTTCCATACAAGAGGGTTTCTTTGAAGTGAGCATGAAACTTAGGTAAAGAACACAACAATAACAACGCTTGATCTTCACCATTATGGTAACATCAATATTTTCAAGATCAAGAATCATCTTGTTGAAGGTATTCAGCTGCTCCATCAATACTTTATCTTTATTCATCTTGAATGAATACAAAGATTGCTTCAAGTACAAACGATTCACCAAGGATTTTGTCATATACAATGCTTCGAGTTTCATCCAAACACCAGTTGTCCTGTCTCCTTCGAAACCTTCCTAAGAACCTTATCACCAAGACTCAAAACAATTTCACTGTGGGCTTTCATGATCATCATTGTCTTTTCCTTCTTCTTCAATGCATCATCCATGGAATCTTTTCCCTTTAACGCTTCTAGTAAACCCTATTGAACAAGAAAGGCTAGCATCTTCAAACGCCATAAACCAAAGTCATTAACTCCAGTGAACTTCTCAATTTTAAACTTTGTTGACAACATCTTATCCATACTCACCGCACCAGTTTGTTGTGATAACAAATTATACCTTTCAACACATAAAGATTGAGAAACGAAGTTCTTGGGTGAACAATGAAAACGGTTATAACAAAGAGAGAAAGAATACAGGATAAAGAAGAAGAAGGATTAGGGAAATTGTTTACTATTCACTTCCTCGTAAGGGCTTACAAATGATTACAAATGAATATCACAATTGGCCTCCCTCAACAACCTGAGTGATCTAGCCTATATACAGACTAACTAATTAACTTATAACCCAAGCTAACTAAAAAATTGGATCCTTAACACAAGAGTCAATTCGACATAATAAGTCAATAATATATTTCGACATTACATACTAGAACTAGCTTTGACTACAATATGTAACCCTTCAACATCAGCATGTGACCCATCTTCGACTTCATGCTTATCTCCTGTCAAAACACATGAAAGTTATTCCTCGACAGAGTTAGAGTTCGACCCAAAATCTCACACATATGTTATTCTCCTTATTTCAATTGATATTGTAATTTGAATATGAGTAACTAAATTCCTCTAGGTTAGGTTGTTTGCGATTGACCTTTTTCTCTACTGTTGGATTATATGTTGATTTGACTTTGTATGAACCCTTTGATCTTTAATTATATGCAATTGTTTCTTGTTCTTAAAGCTTTTTATTTGAGATACTCTGTTAAATTGATTTTGGACACATAGGGAATAATGACCCTTAGCTTATGTGTTAGACCTAGAGAAATTATTCTACTTACGCTGGTTGAATAGGAATAGGAGACTCTGAGTAGTAGCATATGGAATTAACATTTTGTACATCACCTAATCTTGCTTACGCTGGTGGACTAGGGGATAGGAAGCTCCAAGTAGTGATTAGTGAGTTATTTTGTGAGGGATTAGTTATAACGTCTTTGTTAATTCGTCGTGGGATTATAGTGATAGGAACATTCATACAAGGCATCAAACATCAATAATAGAGAATTAGGGGATTCAAGGCACAACCTGACCAATTTAGTAATTCTATTTTAGTTTTTTTTGCACTACAACCTGAAACCTCCTCCCTTTTTTTACTGTTTTCTTTACATTGCACAAATATTGTCTCGTTTGAACACAATTCATGTGGATTCGATCTTTTTATTACTTTAACACTATCGGTACACTTGCCGAGAAGTCATCGGCTTTCTAGATACCAATTGTTGGTGCACAAGAAGGAAGAAAATGAAGATGATGAAGATGAAAGAGAAAGAAGAGAGACGTAACTAACTTCTCACAGAAGATTGAAATTATGTTGTGGATTTTTTTATGAAATCAGTTACAAAGTTGTTTAAATACACAAACCGAAATGCCACGTAGGCTAAGCTAAAGATGTTATACTAAGTTGAAAATGAAATTACATATAACAACAATCAACTGAATACAATGCTCAATTAAAAATGGAATGCAAATTCATGCATTTTCTCATCAATTCATTATCTCTGTAACTTGGATGTTTGAAATCTGTAGGATAATAATGAAAAACGTGAACCATTATTATAGAGATTAAATTTACTTATATACAAGTATACCAGTAACCGCCAACAACGACTAATTTCCTAGAAATCGACATGTATACCATTATGTGGCATTTCGTTCCGTGCATTGCTTCTATTTGTCTTCAGTCTTTGAATTGCTCATGTCGAAAACTCCTAGTCGAATCTTGTAATTTTTGCATCAAACCATGCTTTAACTACTTGTGCTTAGCCTGTGTATTTATCCTACTCCCTATTCATGTCGAATATGCCAAATCACTACCAACTTTTTTGAGATTTTGAACATATTTTGAAGAGAGAGTGATCATAATCATGTGAATCTGTTCTTAAAATTCTTCTAAACCTGACTTAGTGAGTCTCATTGCAATCTGAGTCAACAATTACAGCCTAACACACTTATAGTAATTAATTTTTATAGTAATTAATTTCTATAGGTGCAACCGCAACTTTTGTTCATATGGACTTTGAGCTTAGTTCGTTTTGCTTTCTAAAATTTAGGTGACTTAATTTTTTTACGAATTGAGTCTTGGTCTATTATGAAACACCAATTAAAAAAACAAATATGAGTATTCAACAATACTATATTTGTAGATGTGTGAAATAACTCAAGTGATGTGTGCTAGTTGCACTAAGTGAGTGTAATTTGTTTGCCTAGGCTCATCCCTAGCGATAACATATATTCTTATTTATACATCAATATAAACAAGTTGTTATAAAATAATAATTAAAAAAGAATTTAATTGAAATAAATTATCGGTGTAAAAAAATGATTTTATACAATAACTTAATCCTAGACGTTAGATATTAAAAAGAATTTGATTTTTATTTTAACTATTTATAAAATAATGCAAACGAATGTCTATAATGAATTGATTGTGTAAATTTTTTTATACCTAACCGTATATATTATATAATGAATTGATCGTGTAAATTTTTTTATACCTAACCGTATATATTAATTAATCTCATTAAAAACTACAATATAATATCTGCTTATTTAACTTAAGTTCAATAAAATAATTATTAATATTTTATATTATAAATGATTAAAATACTGTATAAAATCTATAGAAGTATTTGTAAGATGGTGAGAAAAACGTTAAAGGAGAGTGGTGGGAATTATACATGGATGGATGACAAGTTGGATTAATATATATTCATTTATAGAGAAGAAATAATAATAAAAATAATAAAAAGTAGAGATCACGTGTCGGTGATCTGAGTTTGTGTTATGTTGCTAAGTTAAGACATAAATGTTGAAAAAGTGGGAAAGGAAAGGAAAGAAGGGAAATAGCTTAGACTAGTTAATAGACCTCATTCATCCCTTCATTCATAAACAAACAACACAAAAACTCACTCACTATATGAATCCGTGTCCTTTCATCTTTCTTACACACCACAAGAAAACAAAACTAGAGAATATACATAACTGATCCTATCAGATCAGTGGCGCACTGGCCGGGTTAAAGAGATTATTTCTGGTTCCACATCGACGGAAAAGAATCAAGAACAAGAAGAAAACTCTTGTACTACTCAAAAACAACAAACTCATGCATATCTGGCAAACCATGATTTTCCCTGTCAAGCGTCTCTGCCTTGCTCTCTCCACTCGCATCAAACACCGCAAAAACGGTAACAATCTTCAACTATACATGCATATCAATATTCATACATATGAATTACCAAGATTATACATGCTTATGAATTTACTTAGACCAACAGTAATGGATGATTTAAATTAGGTTAACCAACCATGCTTATTATCATCTGCTTTCGGTTATTTAATTCCAACAACCATATACTCATTTCTTTATTATTCAATTATTTGGCCATCATAATCATTGTGTTTAGATACATACATACATACATACACAACTGGTGCGTAGTAACTAACCTATCTCTTTTGGTCAGTGCCCTGTGGTTGTGGCAACCAAAGAGAAAGTAGGATCCACATCTTTTTCAGTGCAAATTTCATCGTGCTTTAAAGTCTAAAAATGACCCCTAGACACGGAATTAATGCTTTCAAAAAGTGTCCTATCCTATGTTCACCATCTAAACTTTAATGACAGTGCCCTTTTTTGTTACATCATATTAATAATGGATGCTTCTCGAGGGGTCCTAACATGTTTGTTTGTGTGATGCAACAGGAGCAGGATTGGTGAAGCTTAGAGATGATGTACAAACTTGTGAATATGAGGATGTACAAGTCATGTGGGAAATGTTACAGAAAACAGAAACTCAAGTCTTACATAACAACAAGCGTCCTTTCTGGAGAGTCTTTGTATGGTCCAATTCATCACAATCTTCAAATCACACTTGATAAAGTACCAAACACATAATAAATAAACATAACTGCTGCTCATGTACAGCAGTTAGTTACCTCAATCCTTTCATTGCCACCATTGCTGGGGCCTAGTTGTTTTTTTTTTTAAATTACTAGTCTATAACTATATAGTACAATAGTAGTTAATAAGACAAAACATATGAGTTTTCTCTCTTACAACTCAAACTGATGTCTCTGCACAACAGTCAACTGAATTGGTTTAATGGGGCACATTAGTAGTATGTAAATATATATATGTCATTTCACTTTCACAATAAGATTTTAAACAGTCCAAACATAACAATAATTCATGATAAGTAATGCATAATCGTAATTTCTCAAGAAAAAACTCATTTTATACCAGAAGTGTATGGAGAAAATGATTACAAATTATTGATCTTTTTGCTTCCTGACTCTACTGCTCCATGCCTTAACCATAAGGAAGCATTTGTATGAACTTGGGGATGATGCAAGTGATTGCATTTTCCCAAACAAGTATAACAAATGACAATGAATATTATATTGTATTTGTGAATGAATTTTGTGATTATAGTCCTCTACCTGTTACGGTGTGACTGTGATGTGCTTGTTATATAGGGTGACATTAACTAATCATCCATATACATGGACCTAGACATCAACACATAGATTGTGGTGAATGTGAGGAAAAGAGCTAAAACATTGTTCACATCAGACTTCATCACCCCTGATTTGGGGTTTTCTCCGGTATTATCAGTAGGAGCACCATCTGGACTCATAGGAGATAATGCTGGTCCGGGAGCACCGACTGGTCCGGCTACCGGTGCTGTAGATGGAGTTGTTGTTGTTGTTGTTGCGGGTACTGGTACTGGTGAAACAACAGGCACCGGGGATTTCACGGGTACTGGAAAAGGAGTTGGAATTGGTACAGGTGAAGCTACAGGCACGGGTGAAACTACAGGCACGGGTGAAACTGCAGGCACTGGAACGGGTGATACAACTGGCACGGGAGAAACGACGGGAACCGGGACTGGAATTGGCAATACAACAGGAAAAGGAGGCATAGCAGTGTACTGTAACTTCCTAGTAACGTAGTTTCTGTAACTGCGATAGGCTGGGTATTGGGGCATAAATTTTGTCATATCAAAAGCTGCTATAGATAAAGGTAACAACATTGTTACTAGTGAATATAAGAGGAACACTGTGGATGATGAAGACATTTTGAATATTGATTGTGAGAATGTGAGTGAGAGATGATATTACAATTTACAAGTTATGAGGTATATATAGTATGGTTTTGGATTGTGATCCATTACTTAAGCAATTAAGTAGACAGGGTCTGATTTATTCAACCAATTATTAAGGAACTTTGCTTGGACGCAATGTGAGAAAATGGGAGTGAAAGCTGGAGGAGTTTTCTTTCAATTTGACAATGTATACCTACTTTAACTGTTCTCTAAAATTAGTTAATTTGTTTTAGTATATTTAGAAAACTAATTACTTATTTAAACTTCAAATTTTAATATTTTTGCAAACATTCCATGCTTATTAATTGGTTTACTGAAAAATAAATACATGTGGCTTAATATAAAACATTTGATTGATCAAATATTGGGTGAAATTCATAGTTACTTTTTCGGGTTAAAGTCCCCAAAATCAATCCAAAAATACTCATCAAATACACTTAAGTCATAACTACGAGTATTATATATGTTCAACCTTTTGTTTCTTGAGGTCGATCTCTATCAAAGATTTTATCAATTCTTACAAACTTTCAGTTTTAATACACTTCGTATTACACTTGCATTCGAGCTATAAGAGAGATGATGAATAGTGACATGGCGGAAACTATCATTTTGAAAAATAGAAAGTAGCAAAATGTTGAATTGTATTTTCATCGGTTAAGAACTTATATAGAATATAATGGGTCATGGTAAACTAATAAGCTCAATAACTATCACTAAGCTTATTAAGTAAAAAAAAAAAACAAATAAAACTATTTATCCAATATCTCCCCTTCAATAAGCTTGGGGTTAGCCAAATTTAGTTACGGTTGACAAGAAAGACGTGGTTAGCTGTTGTGCCGAAGTAATAAGAAGGAGATGAAACTGTTATTGTTGTAGCTTTTCTCGGACCAAATGGCAATCTTAATCAATGTGTTTGGTGTGTTTATGGAAGGAAGAATTGTTGGCAATATGTCTTGCAGAGGTCAATATAGGATAGTTGGTTTCTTGAACGGGATGAGAAGATCATTGAATAAGTTGGTGATCCATTGAATTTCATAGACAGTTGAGGTCATCGACCTATACTCTGCTTCAGTGGAATTTCTTGAGACAGTTGGCTGCTTTTTGGACTTCCAAGAGATCAAACAATCACTCAAATATATGCAGAGACCTGTGATGGATTTACGAGTTTCCTGATAGGTTGCCCAATCAGAATCAGAGAAAGCTTTGATCTGCAAGGTTGAGTTGCTAGAAAAAAAAAAAGCAATCTTTGGACTGGAGAAGATTTTAAGTAACACAAAACACGAAGAGCAGCATTATAATGAAATTCAGTTGGACAACTCATGTGTTATCTTAGTTATTGAACTGAGTAAGCCATGTCTAGACACGTGTTTAGCAAAATATATGAGTTGACCAACAAGCTTTTGATACTTAGTTGGATCCTGCAAAGGAGTTCCATCAGTTGTTGTCAGCCTAGTATCACAAGCCATATGTGTTTTTGCAGGTTTACAACCCAGTAAACTAGTAGCAGCAAGAAAATCAAGCGTGCATTTTCTTTGACTGATGTTGATTCCTGAATTATTGCGTGCTACTTCAAACCCTAAAAAGTACTTTAAGATCCTTGGTATGAAAGTGATTATGTAGGATCTGTTTTGTGTGATTAATAAGATTCATGTTATGTCCTGCAATCAAAAGGTCATCAACATAAACCAAAATGAAAGTAAAATGCTCTTGCGATTTATGTATGAAGAGAGAATGATCACAAGAGCATTGTCTTAAGTTATTTTTTATTAAAACTGTGGACAGCTTCTCAGACCACTGTCTACTGGATTGGTTTAATCTATAGATGGATTTGAGGAGCTTGCATACTTGGTTTGAGGAAGAGGATGTAATGCCCTTTGGTAAAGACATATAGTCTTCCTCATCCAAATCACCATGCAAAAATGCATTATGCACATCAAGTTAATGATTAACAATTTTCAAAGAGGAAGCAAGAGCAAGTAATATTCATACAGTAGTGAGCTTTACAACAAGGAAAAGGTGTTAAAGAAGTCAATATCTTGTATTTGTTTGAAACCTTGAGCCACTAACCTTGCTTTGTGACTTTCTATGGTGTCATTTGAATTGAATTTTATCTTAAATACCCATTTATAACCCATAGTTTTCTTTCCTGGAGGTAAAGTGGTGAATATCCAAGTATGATTGGTTGTCAAAGCTTGGATTTCATCATTCATGGCTTGTACCCAATGAGGATGAACACTAGCTTTCTTATAAGAAATAGGAACACAAGCAATAGTAATGGCATCAATAAAGGAATTATATGTAGGTGAAATATGATTATATGAAATATATATGGAAATATCATAAAGTGGATATGAATGAGATGCATGGAAAATAAAATCTTTTAAATATGCAGAGGCAGATTTAGTTCTTGTAGATTTCCTAATGGTTAGGATGTCAGGATCACTATCAAAGTCAGAAGCGTGCAATTTATCAGGTTTTTGGATATTCAAATTGGGTGGAGGGGAAGAATGAGGTGTGGTGGGAGAAGTAGGTTAAGCAGGGGAAATGTGTTGAGGTGGATCAGGTTTAGTGATGTTGTTGTTAGTGTTAGGATTGTCCGATGAGGTAGGATGATCAAAGAGGAAAGGAATGGTGGATTAGTTTGTGGTAAGTATAGGTTCGGGGTTGGTGGAAATATGGAGATGAGGTGTGTAAGGGAAGATATGTTCATGGAATATAGAATTCCTTGAAGTAATAATGGAGCTAGTAGTAAGATCAAAAAGTAAGTATCCTTTCATTCCCATGGTGAATCCTAAAAATACACATTTGGAGGCTCTTGGATCTAATTTATCTCTATGTCTTGTAAGGGTGGAAGCATAAGCAAGATATCCAAATATTTTAAGGTTGCTATATGAAGGAGGTGTGTTAAAGATAAGCTCAAAAGGAAGTGGTTGTGTATGGTTGGGCTACATATTCTGTTTATCAAGTAAGTGGCATGACATAAGGCAAAAGAACAAAAACACTTAGGCGAATTGGCATGAAATAAGAGAGATAGAGTTACATTAAGTAAGTATCTATGTTTTCTCTCAACAATGGAGTTTTGTTGAGGCGTTTCAACATAACTCCTTTGATGTAAAATTCCAAGAGATGCATAGTAAGAATGAATAAGAAACTCAATACCATTATCGCTCATAATAACTTTGATTTTACATGAAAATTGTGTTTGGCAATAGGATATAAAATTTTGAACATGATTTCTAGTCTTAGTTTTGTTTGTCATAAGAAAAATCCATGTATATCGAGAAAAGTCATCAATAATAGTTAAAAAGTTTTTAAATCCATCCATAGAAGGAACGAAAATGGGGCCCCAAATGTCCATATGGACTAAATCAAAAAACTTAAAAGATGCAAAGTTGCTTATGGAAAAAGAGAGTTTATATTGCTTAGGTAAGTTGCAAGTATGACAAACAGAAGTTTTATTGAACTTGATAACATGGAAAGTTTTAGACATCTTATGTAAACCTCATTAGAGGGATGGCCCAAACAATGGTGCCAGAACAAATTATATACACTGTCAGAATCCTTAAAGCTAACAGAATTTCAACTATTATGAGATGTAAAATTGGAAACATGTGGCCTATGGAGGTTGTAAAGGTTGTTATGTTGAATTACTTGGCCAATCATCCGCTTGTTAGACACATCATGGATATAACAGGAATTGTGTAAGAAGGTTATGCTATAATTAGAAGTGTGAAAAAGTTTAGATATGGAACTGAGGATAATATAGAGAAT